GCCCTGAAAACTCTGGAGATTCTGATTTCAGGAAGGCTAGGTCGGGGCCTAGGCATGTGCATGTTTTACAAGCTTCACAAAGGACACTGATGTCCAACAAAGACCTGAACCTGGAGCAGGCAGCATCTGGACTATCTGGCCACTCTCATCCCAAAACACTCTTTGGGAACGATGTGCTAGTGGGAGCAGGGAGCACAGGCTGGAGGACAAAGAGTACAAATAAGAAAGCCGGACACTCTGAGAGGGATCTACAGTCTGACTCCTCCTGGAAACATACCACCTGCTCATTGTTTCTGGGTCTGCACAGACTCCAAAGGTGGAATGAGGGGAATGAGAAAATAAAGTGAAACCACACATGGTGTGTAGTTGAAACATAAAAGTACTTCTGGAGTAAGTCGTAAGAGCTCCATGTAAATGATAAAATGTTAATACACTGAAAGTATAAAATATGTCAAGAAAAAATAAACTTAAAAGTCATAGGCTGGGCTCAGCACCTGTGGCTCAAGTGGCTAAGGCGCCAGCCACATACACCTAAGGTGGCGGGTTCAAGTCTAGCCCAGGCCCACCAAACAACAATGACAGCTGCAACCAAAAAATAGCCGGGGGTTGTGGTGGGTGCCTATGGCCCCAGCTCTTTGGGAGGCTGAGGCAGGAGACTCACTTGAGCCCAGGAGTTGGAGGTTGCTGTGAGCTGTGATGCTACAGCACTCTACCCAGGGTGACAGCTTGAGATTCTGTCTCAAAAAAAAAAAAAAAGTCATGGGCTGGACAGAGTGGTTCATGCCTATAATCCAAGAATTCTAGGAGGTGAGTTAAAAGATTGTTTGAGGCCAGAAGTATGAGACCTCAGCTCTACAAAAATAGTAAAAAAGTTATCTAAGCCTTGGGGGTGCATGCCTATAATCCTAGCTGCTCAGAAGGCTAAGACAGGAGAACTGCTTGAGCCTAGGAGTCTAAGATTGCAGTGAGCTATGATGACACCACTGCGCTCTAGACCAGGTGACAGAACAAGATTCTGTCTCAAAAATAAACAGCCATAAAATGAAATTCAATTTAAGAACTATCTGTGTATTAGATACTGTGCTAGGTGCAGAGCTTCCCATGAGGAATAAAACAGTTCCTCATCTTCTCTCAAGGACTAATCCAGGGCACTAGCAGGAAAACCAGCACCAACTAGCATAGTTATGACTAATCTCAAACCTTACACTCACAGGCGTCATCAAGAATTCAGCCAGTGGCTGAAGCTGATTTCTCCCTGTGGTCACATTCAATACAGAACAACTGATGTTATCAGAAAATGGAAATTAATGGTGCTGTGTTTAAGAAATTGACATTTATTAAGATAATACTAAGTGACACTTCCATGAGGCCTGAACATTAACTTAGTTTGCACTGTGAATGTCAAAAGTCTTCCTAGGCAGCATATAGTGTGTCATGTGCCACACCTCCTACAGGTTAGAGATGCCCATTTTTGCCCTATATAGAAATTATAATAGACATCTGTGCACATGTTCACTTTTTTACTTTTTTTTGGAGACAGAGTCTTATTATGTTGCCCTCGGTAGAGTGCTGTGGTGTCACAGCTCACAACAACCCCAAATTCTTAGGCTCAAGTGATTCTCTCACCTCAGCCTCCCAAGTAGCTGGGAGTACAGGCGCCCACCACAACACCCAGCTTTTTTTGTTGCAGTTGTCATTGTTGTTTACCAGGCTTGGCCTGGGTTTGAACCTGCCAACCTCAGTGTGGCTTGGCACCCACAGCCATAACCACTGTGCTGCGGGTGCCAAGCCACATGTTCACCTCTTACTTTTGTGAAGATAGGCCTGGAAATTCAGCAACTACCTCTTCTTTCTCTGTGCAAGATTTAGCTTGGTGACGACTGATGAGGCTACTTTTGTTTGAGTTTAAAAGTGACATATCAATATGTATACATTCAGATGGATCATAGAATTATGAACGTTAGTGCTAGAAAGGAATGTCCTGAGGTCGCCTACCTTAGACTCCTCATTCATCACTGCTATCTGGACTCTCCATTCATACCTAAAATAATTAATTGTAGTGTCCTCCAATGATAACTTTTCATTTCTTATTTGGGATATCTCTTCTATTCACAGAAGTACTAGAAAGTAGGAAGCATATCAAACTTGTTAGGACTATAATAAATAAAAAAAGAAGTTGATATTTATTAAAAATTAGAGGAGTTTGAGGAAATTCCCCACTCTTAAATAAAAATCTGGAAAGAATATTAAATGTTACTGATTTAACTAACAAATATAGCTGGATTTTTGGTCTCTGACTCTAGTGAAGATTCCTCAGTGAATATTAAACTACAGAACTAAAATTAGTCTTTTGCCAAGAGGGATTAAAGTGGGATTGCCTGCTTGATTTTTTGTAAATGAATCGAACTATGTCCATTTTCATTAACTTATCATCCATGTCACTGTTAAATCATATGTCAGAGTTAAGTTCAGAACTGTGATAGCCACTAATTCACTAGTATTTAATAGTATAACTGTGGCTCAAAATACCACTTCCCGGCAAAGACTCAACCAGGATCGCACACATTCCTTCATTCATTTAAACAATATTTTATGAGTTCCTACTGGGATGGCAGTGCTGTGGAGACTTGAAGTAGTTACCAAAAGAACTGAAGGGAACAAAAGCAAGTAAAGTTTTAGCAAGAAAAAGTTTATTTTTAATGGTTTGGATGGAACCAGGCCCTGTCTTAGCAACTGCAGGCATCATGAAGAGCGCAGTGCTGGGTTTTATATGCAGCTTTTGAGGGGTGTTGTTTCTTGGAAATTTCCCATGGTCCTGATCAACTCTGTTCCCATAACATGTTCCCAGAACAACTCGTATCCCTTAGTCCACATTAAAAAGTCCCAGGGACGTTATCAGTCCTCCAAAACAGCCTGCTCTCCAAAGCAGCCCAATTGCAAGGTCTTACACCTAGCAAGGTCTCAGTCAGCTATCAGTCCCTTTCACACAATAGCCCAGGTCAACCTGACCCAAGCCAGTCCACGATAATCTAACCACATTCACCATCCACCTTGCTCATGTCTAACGGCCTGATCTGGGCCAGACACTGTGCTAGGCACCGAGGTTCAGCAATTTGCACACAGTCTTGGCTTCTGATTCTTTAAGGGTATTCCATCAAGAGCCATTTCCCATACGCCTGTGGCAGATATCACTAGTCAGTCATCCACCCTCTCCTCCCAAGCACTTAGGCCTGAGAATCTTTCTCAACATAATATTTATAAGAACATTACCAGAGGTGGAATACAAGACGAAATTTATTGGCCATCCCAGATTCCAGCCAAACTATTAATTCATTGAAATCACCTGCTGTTCTCACACACTACTGTGCCTTGGTTCATGTTATTTTCTGTATTTTCACCTGCTTTTCCTCCCTTTCTATCAACATCCAAATTATTCTGAAGATATGGCTCAAATGCTCTGTTTACCTTGTATCTCCCCCAATGAGATATAAATTTCTCTTCTCAATCTGTATGATACTCATTTTTTATGACATTTAACCATCCACCTAATTAATAAAGTACATGCCCCATCTCTCACATAAGCACCTCAAGGCTAAGAAATGCTTTGTATGTCTAAGCCTCATATTATTGATCATTACGCCTTTGTAAACACAAACATGATTGCTGGACCTGGTTCAATCAATTATGAGAGAACTGGGGATGAATTAAGGGAGAACATATAAGCTTACTTGGAAGTTTCCTGTATAGCTGTGTTCAGTGAAGATACATCATTTCTACTGTTCTTGTTATCAGTTTGCATCTGCAAAGCAAACTGTTCTTCAGGTTTTTTTCATGTGAGAGAAAAATTATTTGATGTACAGAAATAGAACTAACGTAGCTTCTTAACACATGAGTCATAGTCTTTTGGGAGAAAACAGGGTTTTGTGTATATAAGCATATGTGCATTTTTCCAGGGAAAGGATTCAGAGTTTTGTTTTGTCTTTTTTTTTTTTTGAGATAGAATCTTACTATGTTGCCCTTGGTAGAGTGCCATAGCATCACAGCTCACAGCAACCTCAAACTCTTGGGCTTAAGCCTTTCTCTTGCCTTAGCCTCCCGAGTAGCTGGGACTATAGGCACCCATCACAACACCCAGCAATTTTTTGTTGCAGTTGTCACTGTTTATAGCTGGCCCAGGCCAGGTTCAAACCCACCAGCCTTAGTGTACGTGGCAGGTGCCATAACTATTGTGCTATGGGTGCCAAGCCGGATTCATAGCTTTCACTAGGCTCTAATAGGCTGTAAGTTAAAAACTAGAATATATGTGCAATAATTGTAATAACTAATGCAGAGGCACTATGTGTTTGATCTCGCACAGGTCAAAATGGCATGCTGGGAAAGGGAGGAACCTCATTTTATTACCATTCTGACATTTACATCCCCCTCAGGATGATCCTGGTAATTTCCAAACTGTTTTTCTATTTTTCATTTTTTTTTATTTCTTATAGCATAACTGTGTACATTAATGCAATCATGAGGTACAGTGTGCTGTTTTCATGTACATTTTCAAATACTCTCATCAAACTGGTCAAGATAACCTTCATGTCATTTTCTTAGTTATTGAGTTAAAACGTTCATACTCTGCTTTTAGAAAGATTCACTTGTACCCTTGTAAGATAAACCATAGAGGTGACCCCACCAATCTCCCTCCCTCCCCCCCCCAACTGTTTTTCTATTTTTACTGCCTCCACTTAGGAATTTTTTACATATAAACTTCTGAGTGATTGATTGACATTATGAAACTTCTGTGATGTTTTCAGAACCTAACAAACCTCTACTAGTGAACTTGGCAAACAGACTTTGATGTTAAATCTTGTGTACCTTTGTGAAACATACTCTCCAAATACTCCAAATTAAAATATATTAATTAACTTAAAAGTATTTGAAGTAGATATTAATAGCACTTTTCCACCTATGGAAATATAAATAAGGCACTAGGAAAAATAATACACATCCTGAAGTCATTATTAGTGAATTAATGTTTATTTAAAACCACGCATGAGTGTTTCCAGTGTGAATGGACATGTTTGCATCACAACATATTTACAGATACCAAGTGACTATCAGTAATTTGTCCACAAGACATACTGGGTCAAACAATGTGATCAGTCCAAAAGACATCTTTTTAAAAAGAATTTAAGTACTGAGCCACAAAGATGGTAAGTTATAGTCAGTTGCTTGAGAGACTTATCATTTTTTTTTAAAGTTTGTATGAGTCAAATTTATTATGAAAAATTAGTGTGTAATCAAAGCCAACTATGTTCCTCAGACATGCCACAGGTAAGCAAAATAATGTTAATAGAATTAATGTTACTAAAAAATAAAACATTTTTTTTCTGAACAGTAATATAAAAGATCATGGCATATTATCATCATTTGACAATATAAAAGAGGAAGACATGTTTTAATATCAACTTTTTGCTGTTTTTACAAAGGTAAAAAACAAAAATTTCATAAATTCTAAGGTAGAACTCTAAAAGAGAACAAGGTGTTGTCTTCAAGAGCATGCAATTCCCTACAAATAATGCATCTCATTTCAATGCATGAGAAAAGGCACATTTACAATTCAAAATGGCTCTTTCAGCCACTAAGGGAACAATTCATCATCTATTTTATCTACAAAGTCTTTAACTGAATGATTATGCAGTAACAGTTCCTTTGAAAATTTTTTACAATAGTGACAATTCACTTGTTCTTTCAAATACAACCATGTTAATGGCCAAATATGTACAATATTTTTAAAGACAAAAAATAACACTTATATACAGTTTGCAAAGATCAAATTTTAACCATGGACACCTTTCTTCTAGTCCAATGACTAGAAACTTTCCAACACCAATAACCACCAAGTACCACATCAGACCAAATAAAGCCTCAACACTTTTTGCCTTTCAAATACTTTCATTTCTCTTAAGGAAATGTTTACAATTCACCTACTTTGAACATGGCAGTAGCTACACAACAGCAATGACTGGTGCCACAAATCAGTCTTTTCCTATCTAACAGTTACTGTTACTTGAAGGCAATTTTATCATTCAGATCAAATTCAGATGTCTAGATCCCAGATACCTGGGTATGAAATATGCAAATCTGCCAAGAGAAATTAGATATTTTTCTTCTTTTCTTTTAATATAACCCACTATATAATAGTGAACTAAATAGGTTTGTTTCATAGAAACAACTTACATTTGCCAATACAGAGCAAATGGTCTATGTACAGATAACATCAGGACTGCCTAACTGACAGTGAGTGTTGCTCACAAGGCTCCAGGTTAAGGAGCTAATACGGTGGAGCTCTCTGCTGAATGGACTTTCCCTTCAGGATTCTTCGGATCTGGAAGAGAAGTAAATAGGATTTGTCAGGTTTCTTTTTTATGATCAAAAGGGTGTATTTTCTTCAGAGTTTCTTTCATTCCTTTCTTATCTATTACACACTACTCCTATTAACTTGTATTTGTATGAAGAAATATGCATGATATTTGTCAAGATTTTAAAGTGACTTTAAAAAAATACTAAACGTTTAAAACTATTTGACATCTCCTCTAATCATCTTTGGGTACAAGAAAGTAACACATCTCCATTAAAAATTACACATCTCCAAAAAAAAAAGTTGAAAGTCTCCAAAAACTGACAGAAGACCTATATTCCTTGCCTAATCTTTACTCCTGCTATTTATGAGAACACTTACTAAAAGGCAGCGATTATGGTTTGTATTCTCACTGAATCTTGAGATCAGTGTCAACAAGAACACAAAACCCATTTTATACACACATAAGCAAATCCTTAATGTCCTTCAAGTCATGACAGCTGTCTTGGTATCCAAGTGTTAATGCATCTATGCAGAACGTCATGGATTACGGAACAGATCCCAGGGCTTGTGACTGATTTTATGCCACAGTCTGATAAATGATATTATCTGTCTCTCAGCTCACAGCAGATTAGACGCAACAATTTAGAAGAAAAGTTGGGATAGGGTAGTGGTTCTCAACCTTCCTAACGCTGCGGCCCTTTAATACAGTTTCTATGGGTCACAACCCAAAGGTTGAGAACCGCTGGGACAGAGGATACAAGTATTAGCTGCTGTAAGGAAACACAACAACCAGAGTCTGATGACAAAAGCAAAGGAAAAGACCCTCTCCCCACAAAAAACACACAGGTACAAAATACAAAAGCAAAAAGGACAGTAATCTGAGAACATTTAGTGAAGAGTCCAATGGCCCTCCATACCTCAGTAACCCCTAAGAGCATCATTATATAACTGCATACCACAGACTGTGAAGCCAGCATTCGGCCAAGAATGATGGTTCCTGTGCTTGGAACCTCTCTGAATATCATTTTTTTCAGTTTAACCTTTATACCACAAAGCTGTTATACTATTAAGTGATATAATATAGAAGAAAATTCTTTATAGGCTCACTGCCTGTAGCTCAGTGGCTAAAGCACTAGCCACGTACACCAGGGCTGGCAGGCTTGAACCCAGCCCAGGTCTGCCAAACAACAATGACAATTACAACAAAAAATTAGCCAGGCATTGTGGTGGGCACCTATAGTCCTAGCTACTTGGGAGGCTGAGGCCAGACAATTGCTTATGCCCAAGAGTTTGAGATTGCTATGAGCTGCAACACTACAGTACTCTACAGAGGGTGACATGAGACGCTGTCTCAAAAAAAAAAAAAAAAAAGAAAATTCTTTACAAACCATCAGGAGAGTCCTTCTAAATCATAAAAATCTCTATAAATAGGGGTTACTGTAACATTATGGTCATAATAATGGCTCAGAATTTTTTTAAAAAGCTATACTATAACCCATATATTTAATTTTGTGATTAGTAAAATATGTAAAGACCTACCCACAGCCAAAATCACCATCATTCCCTCTAGAAAATGATTTCCATCAAAAACATTTTAATTTCTTAAAAGAGTAAGTTCTTATTAACTAGAAAAGTTCTCTTGTGAAACTATTTAATTCTCAGTGATAATATATAACCATATTAATGAGTAAAGCATAATTCTATTTAACATATAGAGCATCTCTGGATTCCAAATTACATAAATAACTTTTCCATTTCTTGTTCAGTGTCACTTAGTAGATAGAAATAATTGTAACAGTCAGTGTTCACTGAGCACTTAACTATGTGCCTGGGACTAACCTGAACACTTTGCACATAGGAACCCATTTAATATCTACAATATTTGGAGGCTCAGACCTTATAAAACCATGGCTCTCCTTCCTTGGTAACTACAGGAACCCTGGTACTTCCTCCTTCATCACCTTCCAAACTTCAAACCATTCTAACTTACTCTAAACCCAAGTTTGTGTCATGGAAGAGAAGATTACCTGAACACTGACCATTTGGGGTCCATAGGTAAACCCTCAAATTTCTTATATTTCCTTGGGCAACAACGTGATTAGCTACAAAGTGCTATGATGACTAGTGTGAGACCCAGACACCAAGGGACCCCCCCCAAAAGAGCACCAGCAGCCTTCATCCTGCATGACCGCCTCTGCCTCAGAACAGAGAGCCTACAAGTACTTTCTCTGCCTCCCGTGACCCTCACCTGTTCTCCCACAGGGCCATCAGGAACCAAATGCACTGGCTGCTCGTTCTCCAAGTTCCGAGTACTTGGGTCTGCTCCCTTCCTCATCAACAGGCGGACTGCGTCCAACTGCGTCACCCGGTACTGCAGGCTGGCAGCAACATGGAGGGCAGTGTTCCCATTGTACGCCTGAAGACACAGGAATGAAATGCACATTAGGAAGGGGGAACGTCCATGAAAGCAGCTCAAAAAACAAACAAAAAAAAAACCTGAAGGAGGTATAAAAAAGGTCATTCCAACTATCAAAGCTTTTGAAAAGTACCTTTGCATTCACGAAAGACAGGCAACTGGGGAGCTCCAAAAAGAGACGAATGAGTTCCAGATTTGCTTCTTCAGCTGCCAAATGCAGGGCTGTGCGGCCACTTTTACGATCCTTGTCAAAGGCAAGAGGAAAGAAAAAGAACAATCTAGATACCATGCCTTGGAATGTACTTTTCACCCAGTCTCTCAAATGCCTCACTCAGCCTTAGAGACTCACTTTGAATGCTCCCTTCTCCACAAAGCCTTCCCTGGTTCTAAGCTAACTGGAATCTTTTATTCCTTAATTTCTTATTAATTTGCCTACCCACCTCTTATCACAGTCTACCCTTGTATATAGAGTGGCTATAAAATGTAAGACTATTTATTTCTATTGTGCATTGTATCATATCAATAAATTGTTTATTACATATTTGCCTGAGTTTCCAGGCTTGATGGTCACACTGTGGAGTTAAATTTAGCTGTATCTGTAACTTCTTCTATTAGACAGTTAGACTTCCAAGGACCCAAAAGGTTTATGACTTAGATTTTTTCCTCCCAAAGCACCAAACCCAGGGCCTTGCATATAGGAGTTACTCAATCAAACCTAAATTTCAAAAGAATAAAATGTTTTCTAGTTTAAAAAACAGAAGATTGAGTCCAGATCCTACAATGAAGAAACCCTTACAAAATGCACGTTAATTCTCAAATGTATGAAAATAAAAGCCAAAATGATAACATCAATTTCAAGTATTTTCCTTTCATTTCCAACTAACTTATTTCACAGCTAAGTGATCTTTTAGATAATAACCCACAGACTAAAAGTAAATGAGGAAAACCAATGAAATGACTGTCTAAAATCTAAGCTTCTTATATCCATTCTTATATTTCTTCTTATACTCATTCTGTTAACTTTAAAAAAAGGAAGAAAAAACGTTGTTAATCTATACATGGGAAGTCTTCTGCTATAACCTTTTTCTCTCCTACCCTATCTCAAACCCTTTCTGTGAATTTACCTTTGCTTCCACTGCTGCTCCCATTTGAATCAGACACTTAATGGTATCAACGAGACTCTTATTCTTCAGTAAAAGCTCCTGAACTTCCGGTGAATGAGGCTGTTGATTTCTCTGGAGTTCATGCACCACAGCATTGTGGGCTATAACTGCACAATGAAGGGGCGTCAGGCCTAGAAGAAAGGTTTAATAACACAGTAGTCAAGCATTCCATTCAGTCTTTCAGCCCCTCTATAATTACAAACCCTTGAAGATGGCCTCTAACTCTACCTACAAACGGGCTCCACAACAAGGCAATCTGAACATTCCCTCCACTGGCTCTCAGTGCTCACTGTATCTACAGAACAGTTTAGCTTCCTTCTTAGTATGATACTTAATACCCTCAGATCTGACAGGCCCCACTCCCTACATAGTTCTTTATCTAACGACGTTTCAGCTGCTTACCATCATAGTTAGTTGCCTCAAGATCCACAAACTGATTGCTCCTCATTGCTCCCTTCTGAATTGCCTGCAAAATTTTAAAACAGACATCTGTTAGCAAAACACAAGCTATATGCATACTTATCTATTAGAATCCCCAGAAATAAGTAAGTTAATGCACAATAGATAATGACAATAGCATTGGAGACCATCCTACATCTAACATCTGATACCTAAGCCCTATCTCTTTGGCCCTGTGACGGAGGCCTGGTTTGCCGCCTCTCACCTGAAGCACCTGGGAGTGGCCCTTCTCAGCACAGACGTGCAGAGGTGTCCTTCCCCAGCAGTCCGTGGTGTTCACCTGGGCCCCGAGGTTCACCAGATCCTGCACAATGAGATGCTGATTGGCAGCCACTGCCACCTGAAAGGCACTCTGTGGACACACACAGGGAAAAAAATATTTTTTTAACCATTTAACCTTATCATAACAAAGAATATGAAACTAAACTATGAGTGAGGAAAAAACCCACACACAGAAAGTAAATCCTATTATAATAATAAGCAATCACATACTGTAAAGACAAGGAAACTAGAGTAAGCTCAGGGTGCGGCTTTATTGTACTCAGTCTTTGGTCAAATAACTACAAAGTTAAGATTAAAAACTTCAAGGTTGATGGTGGCAAAAAGTCAATATCTCGAAGTTAATATTAACTAAACTCTCTTGATCTTGAGGTCTGAGATGATCTACTGGTCACCATTCACTTCACCATGACCCCATCTTTGCCATTTCGGACAGACTCTGTCCAGATCCTCACCTGTCCATTGTGCTCTTTGATATCCAGCATGTGAAGAGCATTCATCTTTCTTGCAAGAACATAGGAAAGTGCCCTTCTCCCTTGGGCAACAGCAATGTGAAGGAACCTGGGGAACAAGGCAAGGAAAAGAGGTAAATTATTTCTGATTTCACTAAGTTCATGTTTTAAAAAATATTCTTCCTTCAGCCCCTTTTCACAAATGAAACATTACAGAGCATTTGTAATTTGTCGTTTCTCCTAGATGATACATTCTAGCTGCAAAAGAGCTGAGTTAGGCCGCCAGACATCAGAAGAAAAATAAGAACGTCAAGCACCATATTGATCACTTTTTTTTTTTTTTTGAGACAGAGTCTCACTTTGTTGCCCTAGATAGAGTGCCATGGCATCACAGCTCACAGCAACCTCAAGCTCCCAGGCTTAAGCGATTCTTTTGCCCCAGCCTCCCAAGTAGCTGGGACTACAGGGGCCTGCCACAACACCTGGCTATTTTTTGGTTGTAGTTGTCATTGTTGTTTGGCAGGCCCAGGCTGGATTTGAATCCACTAGCCCTGGTGCATGCAGCTGGTGTCCCAGCCGCTGAGCTACAGGTACCCATATTGATCACTTTAAATCTATTATTTTTAATCCTCATAAAAATCTTATGAGGGAAGTATTATCATTTTACATGTCAAGAAATTGAGGCATATAGAAGTTAAATAATTTGCCCAAGACCATGGAGATTTCAGGACAGATTCGGATCAATCTACAAATCAACTCACAGCTTATGCCTAATCACGGCATAATCATTTCTGCTCTATAGATACAGTCTATGTTGGTCTTCTAAACTCAACATATTCAAGAAGACACATATATTTTTATTAATTTAGAAAGGTAATTTGCAATTGAAAAAACAAACTATCTTGAAATACAAACTATCACTGAGTGGCAATTTCCACCTACACCAGTCACCTTGGTTGGCCAACCACTAAATAAGGAATAACTTGGTATACTCTAGAAAAATTCCATGCCCACTAGGCCCAACAAGTGTGGCTTATCTAAAAATAGCATATATGAGACAGAAGTATACTCACGTGTCACCATCTGCATCCTTTGAAAGAAACTGGTCTTGGGAAATATTTGCCAATTTGCTTTCTTCCTGTTCTACTTGCCACTGAAAAAACGATTTCCCTAACTGTGTGGTGTTCATTGTACTTCCGATGATGTTTTGGAAGGGCAGCGAAGTATTTAAAGAGGTGGAGGCCATATCGTGGCCCCCTATGGACTCACAGGCGCTGCTGGGCATCATGCTGAAGCTCTGTAGGTGAGCATTGTTTTGTTGCTGAACGCTGGAGGAAGTCTGGATGGGATTAGTAATATTCTCAGATTGCCCATGACTACTTAGAAGGGAAGAAAAACTTTGGTTTGGGCAGAACTGTGGTGTCTGACCATCAAAGAAGATTGGTTCATAGTTGGGGGACTGGGACGCTCTGGAATAAGGACTGTACTCCAGAGTGGGGTCGTGGGAGTAATGCTGCTGCGGCTCTACATTCTGGCTCTGTGGAGAATACTGGTACACAGAAGCCTGGTCCATCACTTGTGGGGAGCCACTGACTTGAAATGGCTGATATTTCTGAGGTGGAGAGAAGACCTGCCCTCCGTGGAAGTCCTGACACTGCTCTCGGGGGGAGCTCTGAGAGAACCCCCCAGGGCTCATCCAGCTAACTTGGACTGTGTTCAGGGAAACTGGGCTGCATTCATTCTTAATGTTCATAATGTTCTGAAGCAGATTGGCACTGCTGTCCTGTTTGGGTTCATTGTGAAGAACATCTTCCATGCTCTCCCCAGGCGTTGGTGTTTGAGGTGGTGTCTAGAAATAAAGAAAAAGCAATTTGCACACTCAATTCCTTCTAAAATTATTACAGGAATAATAATTTTCAAAGGGTATTCAGAGGAAAATAGTGAGATATTTACCAAAAATTGGGTTTGCAGAGTTGGCCTCTTGCAAGCTGGTCCATCAGGCAATGAATCCGGCCCTTTCCTTTTCCCACCGTATGATACTGTGTTCTTTAATTCTGTACCCAAGAAAGACATGTGGAATCTGTGATAATTTTACCTTATAAATTTTACCCACAATCACACTAAATTATTTTACTCTAAAGCCCCCAGAAACATATGAATAGAAGTAACTCTTACCTGTGAACTGCTCTATGTTCACACCTTGTGCCTAAGAGGGAAAAAGTTTTCCATTTAGTATATACAAAAAATAGTTTTCTGTTTCATACAATCATTAAATAGACTTATGTCTACCACCTTTTATAGCTCACACACAAATCTCTCTTGGTTATTCTATCAACATTTGTTTTCTGTCTCAATTTTCATTTTATCTTGCAACTTCCCTATTTTCACTTTCAACTTAACCCAGTTCAGCCCAGGTCAATATAAAGTTAATAAAGCCATTTGACTTTTCTTTTTCTAGTCAAAATGTGCCATTTCATTTTGTTTGTTTGTTTTTGTGAGGCAGAGTCGTAGCTCACAGCAAGCTCAAACTATTGGGCTCAAGCAGTCCTCTTGCCTCAGCCTCCCACATAGCTGGGACGATAGGTGCCCACCATAACACCCAGCTATTTTTAGAGACAGGGTCTTGCTCTTGGTCAGGCTGGTCTTAAACTTGTGAGCTCTGGCGATCCGCCTGCCTTGGCCTCCCCGAGTGCTAGGATTACAGGTGTGAGCCACCGCACCCGGCCCAAAATGTGCCATTTCTAATGAACCATATTTATTTTCTTGCCCCTAACTTCCTTCCACTTATTCAAGTTTCTCTCACACCCCTACTAGGTGCCTGGCACTGTGCTAAGTAACAGGAATACTGCAGACAACAAGACCAACATGGTTTCTGTCCTATGGACTTTGTCATCTATGAAAAACTACAAGTGACTTACTAAACCTAGGGCAACAGATCCTAACAGACTAACCTATTCCCCCACCCCAGTCAAAACAAAAAATAGATGCCACCTTAAAATCATCCACAGCTTGGCCAGAAGCCTTCTGTTTATGACTTCGGATGTGCAACAGGAGTTCCTTCACTGAGTTTTTCACGCGAACACCTTGAAAGGGTCCTTTCTGCTGCCTGCCAACCCCCATATGGGGCTCAACTGTTCAAAAGAAAACAAAATACATCCTCAGTTAAATCTCTTCACAAAAGTCTTAATCATGCCAAAAGTAAAAAATGTCTAACGTATAAAGTCCCCAAGCAAAAGATGGCAAAGCCTTTCCAGCTCACTCTGGCCAATGGCCCTGTGTCCCCCCAGCTCTACAAAAGGGTTCTATGTTGCCTGTAACTTTCATAAAAATGTGGTCGGAGATCCCCAGAGCCAATAGATAAACACAGATTAAGCCCCTCTGTCTCTCAGCCCTACCCACCCATGAGACAGGATCACCAATTTGCCACCTAAATCTCACAGATCTAAATTTTCTTGACTTTGGAAAAACTTTGGAGAATCAGGTGATAAATGATGCATTTTTAGCTTTTTAAACCAAAGGCTTTATGTTCACATAGACATTTTAAAGTCTATTACTTCCACTCACCTAGGGAGGCACAAAGCAACTTCCTCCAAAGATCTCAACTTACCAAAACCTAACAGTTAACATCTTCAGTTTACTTACTATTATTTCCCCCAATTCAACTGTGCCAAGAAAGCTGCTTAAATTCACTGAACTTAATTAAATACATTTCCACACACGCACACAGGATTTCCTCTCACTGGCTGTTTTTGGAATTGCTTACACAGGCCTTCTAAGTAAAAAGGAAATGTACTCGTTTCACATTTAAACTTAAAAGTACACTTTAAAACGTAGTATATAAAAACAGTATTCTGCTTCTGACCACTACCGTGCCATTAGCCTCTTGGAATCTGAGTTGAACAAAAAGTCAGGAAATTAATAACTTGGCCACTCCATCAAGTGTAGAAAAAAAGTAAGAAGATGGGACAAGAAACTGCATAATTTGAACAAATACATGTAATAAATACGCGACACAAAAGGCTCAATTATGGGGTGAATAAAACAATTTCTTAAGTTAAGAAATTTCGACAAATACCAGAATTGCCAAATCTAACACAGCACTTCCCTGGAATGAGAGCGGATAACAATTCAACATCACAAAGAAAAACGCAGTTTCAGAAATCCCCTATGGCTCTGCGGTAAACCAGAGAACTCGCAAACCAGTTTCAGTCAGATGACAGCCAAATGCCAGAGAAGCCCTAAAAATACATACATATTTTGAATTTGTTACACTCTCAACACAGTGGATTAAATCACTTTTTAAAATTTTTAAATGACTTAAAATGAAAATGAAAAATCACTCTTAAAACACAAGACAACCGAAACAGCAGTGGCTGATCGTGGGGAACACCGGAAGGAGACGTGCTTTAAAATCATGCCATTTAGACAGGCCAACATTAGAGATTAGGCGTTCTTTCCTCTACCCACAAGGGCATCCTGTTTTCCACCAAATTATGCAACTCGGTTCATTAAAAAAAAATGAAACCAACCAATTCACAACCGAAGAAGGCAAACATGATGCTTTTCTTTGCTAGATAATGACTTCTCCATCCATTCTAAAGCACACAGAACAAAAGATCAAGAAATCCTGAAACTCACCAGGATCCAAACCTAAGAACATGAACTGGTTTTCAGTCCAGCTTTACCTTACATCTAGTTAAGAGAATTTTCTTTAATGAGAAAATCCTTTTACGTAAAATTTTCACAAATACTTAGGAAGACCTAAGTCATGACCTCAAACACAGTTTCCAAACTTTTATGCTCTGCTACGTTTTTCACTAATCGCCACAAGAAGAAAATTACACCCACATCAGACCCCAAATCTCCTCATTGTATCTTAATTATAACTCGATAAAGCTGCGTTTTTAGAAAAGAAAGGGGAGGCGGAGAGAGATGTCTGACTTCACTCATCCCGGGCTCCCCAGTCAACGCTCTGCTGGGATGGTGTTTCAGAGGCGCAGAGCCAGCTGGATGGAGCCGGGATTTCACAGCCTGTCGAGGGCATCTGGTTGTGTCAGGCGCCCGGCCCAGGGCAAGGCATTCAGTAGTTGCTCAGTAAATGATACCTAATGTGTTTATTCCTGCCGCTAAGGAGGGCACAGGGGCCGCCTCGCCTCTGGCCGAGGCTCTTCCCAGTCGGGAGCCCTGTCCCTACTCTCCGGGCGTGCGAGCCCGGAGTGGGCGGCGGTGCGGGGCCTGTGGCTACCTTGCTGGCGCTCGGCGCGGGCACCGCCTCTGGGCCGGGACTCGACGGCCCCGCAGGAGGACACGGACGAGGCGGAGAAGTCGGAGGAGTCAGAGCCGGAGCCCGGGGAGCCCGGCGCGGAGGGACCCGACGACGAGCAGCTGGCGTCGCAGGCGCCCGGGGCGGCGGCGGGCGGCGACGCGCCGTAGAAATAGGCCAGGTTGAGCGGGCTGGTCATGAGGCCGCAGTCGCCGGTCGCGTCCAGCAGCCCGTCTCCGCCGCAGCTGTCGTCCAGCAGCTTGTCCACGATCATGCTCCCGGGCTCGGTGACCCCCAGACACCAGCGGCCCTGGCTTGCTGCACGCGGCTGCCTCCCACTGTGGCCCTGGCGTGCTGGGGACGTAGTGACGGGCGCGGCCGGGCCGCCCCGGTATTTAGCCAGCCTCCCCGCCACCCCCGCGCCGGGCCTCGCCATTGGCGGTGCCCGGGCCGCCTCCCGACCCCTCCTCCGGATGCGCCCGGTTTCCAGTAAATTGTCCAGGATGAAGCAATGCGCCCTCCGCCCGCGCCCCGCCCGCCCGGCTCCGCCCAGACCGACCGGTTGTTTTCCTGCCCTGCGCCTGGAAACCCCGACCGAGCCTGGCCGCCAGCGTCCGGCTTCCCGGACCTGACCTTCGCCGCGGCTGCCCGCCAAGGGACGCCCGGGCCAGGCCAGCCCTCGACGAGCCGCGGCGGGGCCCGGGCGCCGCGACCAGGGCGCTCGGCGCGGGGGCGTGGGCCGCGGGGGACGGGCGGCGCGGACCGGTCGGCCGGGTTCCCGGGAGTGGGGAGTCCTGGCGGGTGCGCGCCCCGCACCCGCGTCCTGCCCCGGCGCGGCGAGCTGGAAAAGCCGGAGTTGAGGCGTCTCGGGAAGGTTCCTAAGGGCCGGTGTCCTCAAGTGCCTCAGAGCAGGCTGCCTCCTTAAAACTTGGGAAGTGTTTGCCAGCGCACTTTTTGGCAAGTCCCAAGTTGAAAAAGATGCCGAGGCATTTTTGTGCCTTCAGTTATCTTCTGGGCCACAACTGATCATTTTTTTAGGCTCAGCCCTGGGATAAAAAGTAATGCCAATCTTTCTAAAAGCAGAGTATGAATGTCTTAACCAATAACTAAGAAAATGACAGGAAGGTTATGTTAACCAGTTTGATGAGAGTATTTCAAAATGTACATGAAAACAGCACACTGTACCCCATGATTGCATTAATATACATAGTTTACTATAAGAAATAATAAATAGGCTCGGCGCCTTTGGCTCAAAAGGGTAAGGCGCCAGCCACATACACCTAAGGTGGCGGGTTCGAATCCCCAGCCCCGGCCTGCCAAAACAACAATGATGGCTGTAACCAAAAAATGGCCAGGCGTTGTGGCGGGCGCCTGTAGTCCCAGCTACTTGGGAGGCTGAGGCAGGAGACTCGCTTGAGCCCAGGAGTTGGAGGTTGCTGTGAGCGTGATGCCATGGCACTCTACCCATGAGGCTCCGTCTCAAAAAAAAAAAAAAAGAAAAGAAAAAAAAATAATAAATAAAGGCTCAGCGCCTGTGGTTCAGGTGGCTAAGGCGCCAGCCACATACACCTAAGTTGGCAGGTTCGAATCCAGCCCGGACCCGCCAAACAACAACGATGGCTGCAACCAAAAAATAGCTGAGCGTTGTGGCAGGCGCCTGTGGTCCCAGCTACTTGGGAGGCAGGAGACTCGCTTGAGCCCAGGAGTTGGAGGTTGCTGTGAGCTGTGAAGCCATAGCACTCTACCCAGGGGGATAGCTTGAGGCTCTGTCTCAAAAAAAAAAAAAAAAAAAAAAAAATAATAAATAAATAAATAAATAAATAAAAAAGTAATGCCTACAATTCTGTGTCCTTCAGTACTTTTCTAGTCTTTTTCTAAGCCATCTTAGCAAAATATACACACATGATGTGTCTGCATTATTCACACACACACATATGTGTAATGCTCATTCTGCATTACTTTACACTGTGTCTGATAGACACCGGAATTTTGACCTTTCCTAACTTGAATACTTTTTCCCAATAGATTTCCAAACTATTTATTGAAGTCCAACTAGCCAAAAAATTTTAAGAAGGAAACGATGAATTACATTAAGGCTGTCCTTTCAACTGCGTACTTTATAACTTATAGAAAGGATAAGTGATGAGGGCGCCTGTGGCTCAGTGGGTAGGGCACCGGCCCCAAACACCGAGAGTAGCAGGTTCGAACCAGCTCCGGCCAAAATGCAACAACAACAACAACAACAAAAAATAATAGCCAGGGGTTGTGGCACACATCTGTGGTCCCAGCTACTCTGGAGGCTGAGGCAAGAGAATCGCCTAAGCCCAGGAGTTGGAGGTTGCTGTGACACCACGGCACTCTACAGAGGGCGACAAAGTGAGACTCTGTCTCTATTTAAAAAAAAGAAAGAAATGATAAGTGATATGGTAAGTACACACATGCTATATTAAAAAATATGATTAAAGATCACGAGGGATACAAAGTTCAGTGCCACAGACTTAAAAGAGAAACTATGTTTGATAAGGGGAAAAGGAGGTCAGGAGGAAATGTTCGCAGGAGAGGTGACACTTGAGATAGGGCCTAAGGGATGGGTGTGATTTCAGCCCACAACATTGACAGAGAAAGGGAACAGCATGAACAAGGAATTAAGGTCATATAAGAGCTTGTAGTCCCTTTGAGGATTGTCAAAGGGAAGATGATGATATTAAGTGTAATAGGCAACTTGGCCTTCGGGGTGGAGCACCTTCAGTGGCTGAGACGCTGGAACTTAATAAACATTGAGGAAGCATGAAAGAATTTTAGGCAGGCAAAATTAACTCTGAAGCAGTCGAGAGGAGTAATACCCAGGGACCCAGAGGCCCTTAGGAACCACTGCAGCAACCAAGGAGAGAAGTAACCTGACTCTAGGACAGAGACAGTGGGAAGAGGAAAGTAAATGGGAAGAAAGCAGAGCTAGGCATCCTCACTCGGGCAGAACACACAGGTGGCAGCGAGGAGCAGTTCATGATCAGGTGAACAGGGATGCCAGCTCCAGATGATGGGAAATCAGCAGAGCAAAACATGAGGGTTTCAGGAGAGAGGAAGGGGACACAATGATCTTGGATTGTTTCTCTTTTCATAGGTAGTATAAGACCCCGGGGAAGGTAATTCCAGTAAATATAATCATGCCTTGCAAAACGGCGTTTCAGTCAAGGGCGGACCACAAGTACGATGGTGGTCCCGTAAGATTATAATACTATGAAGTAAAATAAAATCTTAAGGCTCCCCACCCCAGCCAGCGACCGACTGACTGGACCCCCTCTTGGCCAAAGGGATCCCTAAAACTGAAGTTGCTAGCCATGAGAAAGAAGGGAAATCAGACATGCCTCATGTGCCCTGCTGCTTTAGAGATGTCCTCTGTGACTCATTAACAGGCCTAAGGCTATGCAAGACCTACCTGCAGGTCCTCAACACACAACAAACCTCTTGAGTCTGGACATGCGTCCTGTAGTTTGTCTCTGATTAACAAAGCCTTATGTTAACTCAGCATTCCCTTTCACTGACTCCTGGTCTACCAGACAGAGCCTAACTCTTTTAGCCAATTGTCAGCCAAAGAATCTTTAAACCCACCTATAGCCTGTGGGCCCTCCCTTTGAGATGTCCCACCTTTTGGGGCCAAACCAATTATGCCTTCCATATGTTGATAAAACTATGATTCCTGTCTCCCTAAAACATATGAAATGAAACTGTAACACCACCACCACTGTGAGTCCACTTGCTCAGTGCTTCCTGGATGGAGCTGCAGGTCACGGTCCTCAAATTTGGTTCAGAACAAACCTCTTTAAATTATTTTATAATGTATGGCTTCCTTTTTGTCGACACTCCCATATTTTTACTTTTCTATGTTCAGTTTGTTTGTTTGTTTATTTTTTTCGGAGACAGAGTCTCACTTTATTGCCCTCAGTAGAATGCCATGACATCATAGCTCACAATAACCACAAACTCTTGGACTCAAATGATCCTCTTGCCTCAGCCTCCCTAGTAGCTGGGACTACAGGCACCTGCCACAACACCTAGCTACTTTTTTTTAGGGACAAAGTCTTGCTCTTGGTCAGGCTGGTGTCAAACTCCTGAACTCAGGCAATACACTCACCTCTGCCTCCCAAAGTGCAAGGATTACAGGCATGAGCCACTGTGCCTGGCCTTGTGTTCAGATATGTTTAGATACAAAACACACCTACCATCATGGTACAATTGCCTACACACAGGGGTGTTCAACCTGTGGCCCATGGCAGATTACTTAAGGCCTCGTTTTAGTTATCTGTGATATCCTATAGTGCAAAAATTATTCATGGTCTTTTTTTGCTTATCAGCTTTTGTTAGCGTCTGTGTCTTTAATGTGTGGTTCAAGATGCCTGATTCTTCTTCCTACATGCGGCAGAAACAAAAAGAAGGTTGAACACCTCTTGACAGCATTCACTATGAAAATATGCTCTGAAAAGGTTTGTAGCCTAGCAGCAACAAGCTACGTGTATAGAAGGCTACACCATTCAAGTTGTGTAATTAGACTCTGTGATGTTCACATAAGGACAAAATCACCTAACAACACATTTCTCAGAATGTATCCCTGAGTTAAGCAACAAGTTACTATATTTCCTTGTTTCTCACAAATGTATTTCCCTGAAACTTCCGTTGCCTCTCCCTCCCCCTAACTTTTTGGTAATTTTTATAAATATATAAAAAGGAAACAACTCCCTTGATACATCTGTGGAACATACAAAGCTCAGAAACCAAAATTGCTTAAAAAATGCTTCAGATGAAATGGTGAGAGTGATGGTTAATTTTATGTGTTAATTTCACGGAAATAAGAAATGCCCAGACAGCTGGTAAAACATTATTTTAGGGTAAGTGTTTCTGGAAGAGATTAACATTTAAATCAGCAGACTGAGTAAAAAAGATCCCTGCTCCCCAGTGTGGGTAGGCATCATCCAGGCCATTGCAGGCCAGAATAGAACAAAAAGGCAGAGACTCTTCGTCAACTGCAATCCACCTTTCCCTACATCAGCACATCTGGTTCTTGGTCCTTCACACCCCAGCCAGGACTTACACTACTAGCTCCCCTGGTTCTCAGGCCTTTGGGCCCGGACTAGCACTACACCGCCAGCTTTTCTGGTTCTCCAGCTTGCAGACGGCAGGTAGTGGGACTTGTTGGCCTCATAATAAATCCTTCATAATAAATCTCTTTTTATATGTTTATGTAAAACTTATTGGTTCTGTTTCTCTGGAGAACACTGATATATTGGAGTTTCCCAAGAAAATCAATTTGGATTTTTTTTCTCCTACCATATGTTATGGATAATAATGGGCCTAAATACCCATTCAGATAAATTCATAGACAAAAATTTTTTTACAGAATTATCTCGCCATTTTAATTAATTATCTTCCTGTTTTACTTGTTATACAAAAATTTAAACTTCACAATCATGACAACTGGAGAACTTCATATAGACCAAAATGGTCAATGAAAGACCAGTGTTTCAAACTAAACAAACCTTTCTATGCACTGCCAAAGCAATAATACTGTTTGGGAAGACTGTAACTCCTGATGCCTAGAAGGCCTCCCACACACAATCAAAAATGGTTATTAATATCACTGCAAAAAGCAAATGTAAATAAATATACTTTGCTTCATTTAAATGTTGAAATATAAACCCAATTTGGTATATTAGGCTGAGTGATGATATGTTGTCATTGCTCTACTGATAGATGGTTGAATGGTCATTCTGGGGGAGACAGCCACCACGACAGGAAGACATCGCACCATCTGGAAAAGTCAGCTGAGGCCAAGTGAGTGAGCTACTTTGAAAGAAGATTCCCCTGGGCCTACAGCAGGCTTTCAGGTAACTGCAGCACTGGCCAATGTTTTGACTATAGTCTCTTTAGATACCTCAAGCCAGAACTCCCCAAAGCCACTGATGCTTCCTGATGTATAAAAAAAGTATTTTAAGAACTGGGGCCTGGAGAATTTGTCTAAAGTCACACTGCTCCATTACAGGTAGAGAGGAGATTAAAATCTTCACCTAACTCTGGAACCTGATCTTTTACTTAAAAGAGGGACAGTCTAAGACTCATTTCCCCATGGCTCAGATGCACTGTCAACATCTAAAGATACCAAAAATGATAAATAGCATATCAGTGAGTTGTGTGATCCATGGAAGGGAGAAAGAATAAGAAATAAAAATACAATGATGCTATCTCTCTCTTTGGGCTTTATATACATATAAGGTTATATAAGGATAATAATTTACCTTATTGTGCCTAATGCATGAGAACATTTTCAAATAGTTTTATGGTGCCAGTTATGTTGTAACCATTTTGAAACCAATAATTCAGAGTTTTAAGAAAAGAAATTGAATTTTTAAATATAGATGTAATGAACGTTTGCACAACCAAAGATGACTTGGAGCAGCTTTTCTAACTTGAAAAAGCCATAACCTTACAGAGTAAGTTATTATGGTGCACTGGCTGATGAAGTGAATATCACAGGTGAGAGACCAATAAAGCCTGATAGCGTTTATTTTGCTGAATATCTTCTAGATGAAAAGTCAGTAAAAGAAATCATAGCACTGCCTCTTCCCAATGAAACAGTAACTCACTGAATTATAGATTTAACTGCGAACAATTGATTTTTGTCTGCAGAATTACATTTTTGTTTTAGAAATGGACCAATCTACAGACTGTCTGGACTTGCTGTTCTGGTTATACTCATCTGGTATCAGCACCAGCCCTCAGCGAAGATCTTTTATTTGAATGCTTAACAACAAACACAAGGAATGATGAAACATTTAAAGTATATACTAACTTTTTTGAAACTCATAATCTATCCTTGGACAATTGCTTTTATATTTGCAATGATGGTACAAAAGCAATGGTGGGTAAAACTGCTGGTGCCTTAAGAACAAATCAAGGCAGGGGCAACAGAATGAACAGGTAATCACGGTGTTCCTTACCACCACCATTCGCAGAAAGAAAACGGGAGGGGATCATTTTCATTTAAGAAGTCCTATGTGAAATAGTAACAGTACTAATTTAATTAAATCCTAACCTTTGAAATACACATTTTTTAATATTCTATGTGGCAAAATGGGAAATATGCATAGAAGTTTGTGCTGCATCCTGAAGTATGACAATTCTCTCAAAGAAAAGTATTTATATAGTAGGTTGAACAAGATAACACTGCCATTTGTCCTAATCAAATACTGTCTGAGTTGCAAGCTGAATAAGCCCCTGTTTTTCATGGAATACCAATTATAGTTGACTGACAAATCATTCATACGCAGGTATTTGTAGCTATTCATACGCAGGTATTTGTCAGATTTTTTTTTTTTTTGTCTTATAACATTATTTTATTTTCTTCTACATAGACATCTTCCCCAAGTAATGTTGCTAGAACAACTTGAGTGTGGGGTTTTTGGTTCAAGGTAAACATATCAAAAAAAACTAGCTTATCTCTGTTATACAGAGTTGTGATATAAAAATTATTTATAGGCTGTATGTTTCAGAAATCAGGTAGCTACACTGTAATCCTCCTGAAGAAACTTTCTTATGAAGCCTATGTGATAGAAAGAAGAGATATAACTAAAATAATTAAAATATCTTCTGACCAAAATGCTTGAGACCATGAAAGGAATGTTTAGTTTCCTCCACAAAGAGACACCAAGATTTTTTCATAATCTCCCTTGGTTTCATCCATGATGGCTTGGCAAAGAGAGACGCCATACTTCTTCTGATAGAATGCCTTGATATCATTCGTGTCAACTTCAGAACGGGAAACCATAATCCTGATCAATTCCTTATGACGAGTTCCAACACCCTTCATGGCATGATGAAGCTTCTCGGCAAAGAAAGCTGGTTTGCTGGTAGCGCACTTCACAATGGCTGTGAGACATTTCTCAATGTCACCTTTCATCTCCAGGTCCAGAGCTTTGTTCATGTCATGCTTACTGTACTTGGTATATTTCTGAAACACTCTGCGAAGATGGGGGTAGCTCCTGGTGGTAAGAATGGTAACGAACACGTTGGTATCTGTCCCCTTTCTCTTTTCTCCTGCTTCATATAAGGCCCGGGCATCCGTATCAGCCAAGTCTTCATTTACACCGAAATCCTCACTTCGGTCACCCTTAGCAAGAGAAAGCAAAGCATTCCGGAAATCTCCACATGTGTCTGAGGTTATATCTTTGGCCAGATCTCTTTTCAGTTCATCTCTGTAGACTCTGTTAATTTCTCTGATTTCTTTGTTACCTCTTGATGTCAATATTTCAATCAGAGTGTCTTCATCAGTTCCAAGGCCCTTCATGGCAGCACGGAGTTCATCAGCATCGAACTGTGCTGGGGTTTTTAGCAGTGCTAAAGCAACTTCCTCCAGGTGGCCTGTAAGGGCCTTCTTCAGCATTTCATCCAGGGGCTTTCCCTTCTCCTGGAGATACGCTGCTTTGATCTGTTGACGCTGAGCATTGGTTCTCTTAGTTAGTATGTCAATGATGGTCCCTTCATCTACACCTTTAACCGTCAGGGCTTGGTGGATGGCCGCAACATCTGCAGATGGATTGAAGGAAGGATAGGGGCTCACCGCCAACCCAGGACCACCTTTGGATGACTTCACAGTATTAAGGTACTGCTGCTCTTCATTTTCAATGAACCAGGCCTGCTTGAGGAATTCTGATACCATTGCCATTTTTAAAGAAGTGTCTGTGTTTCAATCCTCTTCCAGAGAACTAAACAGAGATTCTGCTCTGAGGGTTTCTACCAGATTTTTTTTTTTTAAGAATAAAGTAAACCTGTTACGTCAAATAACATAACAGTATTTTTTGCCAATGATAAAATTCAAGTTTTCAAATGAAAATTAGAATTTTGGAAAACTTCTGTCAGGCACTTTCAGCTTGATAGTTTCCCAATACCTGAAGACTTTTTTAATAGGATCAATGGTGATGTGTAATTAACAGACGTGATTTTCTTGACGTTATATAATAAAATGTGGGACCATGTGGAAGGTTTACATAACTTGATTAACTAGTATTTTCCAAATGAAGAAGACAAGACATTACAAAATCACCCATGGATAAAAAGATCCATTTGAAATGCAAGGGAGACCATGTATCAGAATATTATGTATCAGAATATTAAAAAGTTCATTGATACAGTTTTAGATTCGACGTTCTATCTATCCTTTAAGGAACTACCACTTGTTTGGGTACGGCGGATACCCAAATTACATGAAAAGACTTAAAATATTTTTTTCCTTTTCCAACTACACATCTGCATTAGGCCAAATTTTCTTTTTCAGACAAATTTTCTTTTGTCACCCTTGATAGGCAGGGGCAACAAAATGAACATTACATTCCTTACCACCACCCTTTGCAGAAAGAAAGGGGGGGACTCTCTTCTTTGAGACAGTCTTACTCCATCACCCTCAGTAGAGTGCTGTGTTGTCACAGCTCACAGCAACCTCAAACTCTTGGGCTTAAGCAATTCTCTTGCCTCAGTTTCCCAAGTAGCTGGGACTACAGGCACCCACCACAACATCTAGTTATTTTTTGGTTGTAGTTGTCATTATTGTTTGAGAGGCCCAGGCTGGGTTCGAACCCAGCAGCTCCAGTGTATGTGGCTGGCACCCTAGGCACTGAGATACAGGTGCTGAGCCCCAAATATTCTTCAAACATTTCACCGAAACAACATATTGCAACAAATTAAATGCTGAAGCAAACATGAGAATCTGTCTTATGTAAAACTAGACAGTAAGAGATTTCCAAAAGTATAAAATATTACTGTTCTCCTCATTGACTTTTTATCTGATTTAGAAAATATGGATTTAATAATAAATTAATAAAGATTTAAATAATTTCAGGCCGGGCGCAGTGGCTCATTGTAATCCTAGTACTCTGGGAGGCTGAGGTGGGTGGATTATCTGAGCTCAGGAGTTGGAGACCAGCCTGAACCCAACAATTAAGGAAGACCCCATCATTAAAAAAAAAAAAATAGCTGGGGGTTGTTGCAGGCACCTGTAGTCCCAGCTACTTGGGAGGCTGAAGCAAGAGAATCCCTTGAGCCCAGGAGTTTGCGGTTACTGTGAGCTATGACACCATTGCACTCTACTGAGGGTGAAGTAAGACTGTCTCAAAAAAGAAAAAAATATTTAAATAATTTTAATGATAGAATGTAAGCAATGTCATATTGTTCAAACTATTCATTGGGCTAAATGCTGAACATCAGGTTCCAAATCCATTCTCTCTTCTCCATCTCTATTTCCCTGTCTAAGACAATACCTTTATCTCTAATCTGGGCCAAATGACCCATCCAGCCCTGCTCACCTAAAATCCATCCTGCAGACTGCCATTAGTCTGCCATATCCATAACCGGATGGAAGAATTCCTTCACTCTACTTAAGAATGATTCAGTGGCTCCCTATCATCTTTCCCATGGAGTCCAATCTTAGAATGACAGGTGTCCAAGCCCTGCCTCCCCACAAGCTCCATCTTCCTCCTTACCTTCAGTAACACCAAACCAAGTATAGTTTCTCACAGTACTAGAACTTTGTCTTGCGGTTCTCTCTGCACAGAATGCTCTTCCCTTCCCCGGCCAACTCCTGCCCCTCTTCCCTGAGATCTGCGTAATATCCAATCCTCCTGAAGCCTGGTCCTGACCCTCCCTCCACCCTCACTCTCATCCCCACCACTTAGGAAGGACCCTGACCTAAGGATCCTTCTCTATATTTATACATGGACTTCTCTCTGAGCTCTTAGGAGATGCTGAATTTATCCATGTATGAATCTGTCTCTTCTCTTCCACTATAAGGTCCCAGACATGTATCCCTTGTAAATAGCCAAGTACCTATTACCAAGGTGGGTAACTGGTACACATTCTACTGGTGGAAAGAAATGAAAATGCTTCCAAAATTATTTTATGTGTAATACCATCAAACATCGAAATAGACCCTATGGCTCCCTGAATTAGAATCCCCTCACTCTTGGCACTTGGATTATGATAAAACTATTTTCATGTACCTTATATATATAAAAGATACCCTAGCTGTGTTTTGCCCAGGATTCTTTGGAAAGAATGTAAAATGCTTTAAGGAGCTTTTTTTGCTTTTCTCTTTTTTTTTTTTTTATGAGACAGAGTTTCTCTTTTGTCACCCTCAGCAGAGTGCTGTGGCATCATACATATCTCATAGCAATCTCAGACTCCTGGACTCAAGCAATCTCTTGCCTCAGCCTCCTTGGACTACAGGCACCTACCACAGCACCTGGCTATTTTTTAGAGATGGGGGTCTCACTCTTGCTCAGGCTGGTCTTGAACTCGTGAGCTCAAGCAATCCACCTACCTCAGCCTCCCAGAGTGCTAGGATTATAGGTGTGAGCCACTGCACCTGGCCTTAAGGAGCTTTTAAAACAGATATTATGATATATGATATGCTGATATGTTGAATTCTTTCCCTGAAAAATAATAATAGTATTGTCTCCACAGCTATGTAAAACTTTTCTTTTTTTTTTTTTTTTTTGAGACAGTCTCACTTTGTCATCCTTGGTATAGTGCCATGGTGTCATAGCTCATAGCAACCTCAAACTCCTGGGCTCAAGCAATTCTTTTGCTTCAGCCTCCCGAGTAGCTGGGACTACAGGCACCCACCACCACACCCGGCTATTTTTAAAGAGGAGGTCCCACTCTGGCTCAGCCTGGTCTCAAACCTATGAGTTCAGGCAATTCACCTGCCTCAGCCTCCCAGAGGGCTAGGATTGCAAGCATGAGCCACTTCATTCAGCCTGTAAAACCTTTTTTAACATCTTAAGAAACATTTAAACTTTGGGGTGTTCTAACAGATTTTGCTTTAACGCAGAGGAGTAGATGAAACCACATATTTTTCCAATTCCATTTACTCTTCTGTGTGGTCATGCTTTTCAAATGACAGGGACTTTTCTAAGCACGGGCACAGCAGTACGTTAGACAAACACACATCCTGTCTGTGTAAACCTTACACCTGGATATATGAACATTCTGGTCATACACTGAGATACTAGTGCTATTCACCAGACACACGTGCTCTGTTCTATCGGTACTCACAGACCTCCCCGTAGGACACCTAAAACATCTGATCTCCTAGGCTACAGCACAGACAGCTGTACTTAGTAAGATCTATAAGCTGCTTCCTTATAAATGGCATAATCCATTATTTCGTGTGGTTTGATCTGGAAAGACTAAGAGGATGTCTTCAAAAGTAATTTTCCAGGTCCTGTTTGCAACAAATTATTAGCACCTAATAGTAAAGCACAGTATGCTATATTTAGGAAATTTCTCAGAGCAGGTAATTATCCCTGCCCAGTTAACCTAATCATCATACCAATGAATTAGTGAATGATTTGCTCATCTCTGAACACTACCCTCAGTGCTGACAAAATGAACTTGAGACATTTCTAAGTACTATATGTACAGTATGTACAACTTTGCATATTATGGACTGATTGCATCAAGGCAAAATTAATAGTGTCCCTGGAGTAATCTCTCTGGAGCTTCCTCTTACATGAAAGTGGCCTCAGAGGTGCTGTGTGTCACTTTGTCGTTCTCCTTTGAGCACCTGTGACATGCCAGGTGAGTTGTCCACTGTGAAAATTAATCCTACTGCTCCCCAGTAGGCATACAATGCCTGTCCTCTGACGGACAAGCAGAAGGAGTGCCCTGTACAAAGCCAGGTCGCACAGCTGAACATCCCAATCAGGGATGACTTATAAACAGAGGCTGAGTCACTGCAACACTGCCATGCCCTGAAATACCTTCTCAACATCGCACCCGGCTAAGCCCAGCAGAAATCCAAGGATATAAATTGGAAACAAAACAATTTTTTCTTCCTCTTTAACACTTCATTTCTAAAGAAACAAAAAGGTTTTCTATTTGATTTCAGAAAATATTCACGTATTATAAAACGTACACGATCCGTGCAAAATCATATGATACGTACGATAGAATAATGTTTGGTATTGGTCTGAAGGGCTAACTTGTGTACCACACTCTCTAATAGTAATGATCAAAATTCACACCAAACATCCACATGAACCAAGTTTGCTTTCCTAAAATTCACCCTGTAAATTGTACTTAGCTCATGAAGGTGCTTCCTGGTTTCTATTTATAATGATGAACTTTACCCATGATAGACACACAGAGAAATAAAAATTATGTAGGCGAACTTTGTCCAAACAGGCAGAGTCCTGTAAGTTCTATTGTTTCTGCTTTCGCTGCCTTTGACAACTCAAAGATTTCATGTCCACACATGAGAATGTGGATAAACAGCAAATGTGGGAAGACTGTTAATTCTTGTCTGCTTTCAAGGACACTAAAATATGATTTGCCTTAAAAAGAATGAAGAAGAAAGAAAAGTACCTTCTCTTCCCAATTCCCGTTTCTCCTCTTTTTTCCTTCTCCTTTCTCCTTTTTACCACTCCTTTTCTTACACAAATCTGCAGATTCTACATAGTAATATGCTAGAATCCAAATTACCCTCCCTTATAAAACTTTCTGCTATAAAAATCTCCCATGCTCTGGAAAATGATCTGTTTTCAAGAAGAAAACTCTGACAAACTAATTCACATTGTAGTAGTAGTAGTACGTAGGTTGCTACAAAAAATTGAGATAGACTGTATTATGGTCCAACACAAAAAAGGTAACTTCGTGACCTTTCCTGAGATTTATTTATTTTTTAAGGAGGAAAAATCTGGAGGCAATTAATTAGCCTCAAAGGACTAAAGTTTTACAGTTGAATTTTAAGAA